GGGTATTTTTACATTTGCCATTTTGCTATTTATTTTCTTTTTTGTTACTAACCCTCACCCCGGGATGTTTTTCCCATTGATTTTCAGAGAGAGTAGAAGGGAGGGGGAGGGACAGAAAGAGAAACATCTATGTGAGAGAGACACATTGATTGGTTGCCTCCCCATTTCATAGTGGGGGAAAGAGGCTCAGAGAGGTTAAGTAACTTGCTCAGATCCCAGCAGCTCAGCAGTGGAGAAGCCAAGACCAGCACCTGGGCCTGCTGCCTCATAGCCTCGGGGCACACAATGTTCTGGAATCATTGTGGCTGTTACTGCTGACACAGTTACAGCTCAGCCGCCCAGGGCAGCCGTCCCAAAAACCTCAAGCGAAGGCAACCAATTGATGTGTCTCTCTCATATTGATGTTTTTCCCCCTCTCTTCCACTCTCTCTAAAAATCAGTGGGCCCAGCCGGCATGGCTCAGTGGTTGAGTGTTGACTTAGGAACCAGAGGTCACGGTTTGATTCCCAGTCAGGGCATATGCCCGAGTTGTGGGCTCCATTCCCAGTGTTGGGCATGTAATAGGAAGCTGATCAATGATTCTCCCTCATCATGGATGTTTCTATCTCTCTCCCCCTCTCCTTTCCTCTCTGAAATCAATAAAATATTTTAAATAAATAAAAATGGAAAAAATATCCTTGGGTGAGGATTAACAAAAACCTGACATGCAATCCAACAAAATAATTACTTGGTTATGTGTAAGATAAAGGAATGGAGCTATTTAAAAGTCCGCTGTCAGTAATGGAGAGGCCTGGCTACCTGAGTGAGGGCATTCACGCTGCTCCCCGCCGCCAGGAGGAGCTGCACACAGTCGGGGTGGATCCCTTCAGCAGCAGTATGCAGGGCGGTCAGACCTTCCTGAAACACACGGGAGAGGGGGAGAGGTATGGGGAGGGCAGGAGGCTGAGGCCAGGACCTGAGACCAGAGGACACCCTCCTGCCAGGCTCCCGGGCTCGGAGCTCTCCACTGCCCTGCTCCTAGGACAATGGCCCCATTGCCTGCGGTTCCCTAATCCCCGCCCCTGATTGTCTCACCCCGCTCTCTGTCCATTCCCTCCTCTTCCAGGAAGCCTCCCCTGCCCATCCTGGTCACGAGACTCCTCCCTTCTGTGAGCACACACCCTGTGCATGACTTCCTGGTAACCCCTCCTGCCTGGTGCCCCACTAAGCCTGGAGTTTTGTGCGCCGGCTTAGCTTTTCCTGGCAGGCTGTTGGGTCAAGAACAGATCCCCAGCTGCCAGCTTTAGGGCCTCTATCGGGGAAAAACACGGGCTGTGGGTTCCTTGAGGGCAGAGAGTGAGTGTCAGCCATTTCTGCTCATCCCAACGGCAACTCACCGCATTCCTCTCCTCCAAGTCCAGCCCGATGTCCACGAGTTGCTGCAACACAGCCAGGTGGCCCCGGCCGGCGGCCAGGTGCAGAGCTGTGTTCCCCTCCTGCAAGAAGGGGCCGGTAGAATCACACACCTTCCAGGCTCTGAGGGCCTGTGAGAGCCACCCCTTGTTTTATAGACATGGAAACTGAGGTCCAGAGAGGGAAGGTGACATCTCCAGGGTCACAGAGCAAGTCCATGACACGCTGCGGCCCTGAATGCCGGGCCAAAGCCATCCTGCTCCTGAGAACTGCGCCAAAGACTATAACCAGGGCACTTCCAAGGGCCGAGTCCTGGTCTCTCTTTTTTGGACAATTCACGGCAGACACATACTTTAAAAAAAATAATCCCTACTTTCCATGCTCCTGTCTAAAGCTGGCCCCTCCCTGGGGACTGCAGACCACCCACCCTCCTTCTGCTCAAGGCCAGGACCAAGCCACTGCGCCTTGCCCTTTCCCAAGACATTATTAGCTTCTCATGGAATACGGTGGCCCACCCTGACCCCACATTTAAAACTGGGACCCCACCCCTGTCCTCCCGATCCCCTCATCCTGCTCGATGTTTCCTTCTTCTCCACAGCACCGCCGGCCTCCTCAGACCTGTAGGATTTCCTTGTCTCCTGTGCTCGTGGCTTATTGTCTGACTCTATTGGCAGAACATCAGCACCACAGGGTGGGAGTTCTGTCCATTTTGTTCTCTGGTTCCCCCGAGCGCCTAGAATAGGGTCTGGGCACACGGCAGACTCTCAATAGACGTTTGTCCAATGAGTAAATAATGTGATGGGAGCTTCCAATTGGCCTCCTGGCACTTGAGAGCCAGAGGCCTGCAGTCGCCTCACATGTGAGAAGTCCAACGGTGACCGTGACCGTGACGGAACCAGAGGCTCCATGCGGCGGGGCAGAAGGCACATGTTCTAATACATGTTCTTTGTATTAGAAGTCCCTGCTTGGGGTTATCCTTAAAGGGATCTCACTACGAAGGACAGCTGGAAGGAGGGTGCAGGGCCCCAGCAAAGAGGAGGACAGCCGGAAGGGCCAGAGATAAGTATGTCCCTAAAGAGGAACCACAGATGGAAGACCAGGGCAAGGTCCCCTGAGGGACCACCAAAGTGTCCAGAAGGGAAGATGCAGCCTTGGCCATTCCTCACACCCCAATGGCCCCTGGGACACCTCTCGCTGAACCAGTCATAGGGGCCTCCTCACTCAGGCTCCTTCTTCGCGCTGGCCTGTCTCACTGCCTTCCTGAGGGGTGGACATTCCCACTTAGCACAGATCTTTAAAGGGCCCGAGGAGGATGTGAACATATACCAAAGCCAAAGCAGTACTTAAAAGAGTTAAAAACATGCCCCACTCCCCCATCGTAGATCCACATGTACATAAAACAGCTATAATTATCATATGAGATCAAAGGTGAAACATTTACATTTCTTTTATGATGACAGTTATATCATATTAATAAACAAAAAACAAGTTTTAAAAGTCCCAACAGCTTTGTTCTGCTTCTCTCCCACCTCTCTGCAAATGTGCATTTAGCGGCTTAGTCAGCTCTCCGCAGCAACAAGGATCAGGCTGGGAATGTGGCCATAGCGTGAAGTCTCCGTGATCAAAGAAATGCAAACGCACTGACATGTGCCCCCAGCTAGCAGGGCAGGGCTTTCTGCTCCCTTCTGGGCTATAAATATCCACATCCTGCCCTTTGAAGCCGCAGGTGGCAGGGACCCCTAAAAGGGCACTTGAATTCTGCCTGGGCAGGACGGGGGCTCAGAGGCAGGCGATAGAGGCGTGGCCTGGGGTCCAGTGACCTCTGCCCTCTGCAGCAGGGATGCCCAACCTCTCCACCTCTGTGAGGCCCTATCAGCATCTCCTCAATGTACCCAGTGGTATTCATCACTTCCTCTGGATGCTCAAAGCCTCTCTACCATCACAGCACCTGTGGCATAATTTATGTATGTTGTCACCGTTATGTCATCGTGTTGTCTGACAGGTGGGGTAGCAGGAGTCAGACCTTCAGTAGCCCAGAGCCTTGAAAAGCTCTCTCTGCTGCCCTCCCCAGATGAAATACAAAATGAACATATTCCTCATCTGAGCATTCAGGACTTCACAGCGGTGTCCAATTTTAAATGCTTCTTTCTAGAATTTCTGATAGCAGGCTTCTGAGCAAGTTCATCAAAGCTGGGCTAGTCGGGCCGGCATAGCTCAGTGGTTGAGTATTGACCTATGAACCAGGAGGTCACGGTTCTATTTTTGGTCAGGGCATATGCCCTGGGTTGCGGGCTGATCCCTAGTAGGAGCGTGCAGGAGGCATCCAATCAGTGATTCTGTCTCATCACTGATGTTTCTATCTCTATCTCCCTCTCCATTCCTCTCTGAAATCAACAAAAATATATTATTTTTAAAAAAAAGCTGGGCTTTTCTCGTCCTCTGGTTTTGGTGCTCTTGCTCTCCTGGGCCCTGAGTGCAATCTTCTTGCCTCCTGAGTAATGAGCCCTGGCAGGGGCTGTCCTTTCGCCCTCTCTGTAACCCTGCTGCCTGGCTCAGTGCCAGGCACAAAACACAGCCATTTCCAGGAAAGCACCCTAATCGGAGTCTCAGGACCCCACTCAGCCCTTTCATCCCAAAGGATGAATGCAGACAGATGAATGCAGTGCAGACCTGAGGGCTCAGTGCCCCAGGGCGCAGCCCAGTGAGAGGAGGAGGCACAGAGCGAGGCATCAGGATGCCGGCTCCAAACCCAGCTTGGCCGTGGCCTCGCTGTGTGACCCAGGCCGAAGCAGTCCCCTCCCTGGCTCTCAGTTTCCACATCTGTGCAGTGAGAAGGTTGAACTGGCCCCCGATGACGATGTCTTCCAGCTCTAACACCCTGTAATATATTTGTCTGTGAGCTCTCTGTCCCCTAGCATAGGAACAGGACTCCTATCTGACCAAGCACGTTAATCAGAGGATTAAAAACAGAGTTCATCTCTTTGTTAGAAGCATTGTTTAGAATCTGCTGCAACATATTTGCCTAATGCAGCGGTTCTCAACCTGTGGGTCGCGACCCCTTTGGGGGGCAAACCACCCTTTCACAGGGGTCGCCTAAGACTATCGGAAAAGACATGTATAATTACATATTGTTTTTGTGATTAATCACTATGCTTTAATTATGTTCAATTTGTAACAATGAAGCTGGGGGTCACCACAACATGAGGAACTGTATTAAAGGGTCGCGGCATTAGGAAGGTTGAGAACCACTGGCCTAATGATTTGCAATGGTCCATTGATACCAGTCATTTGCAGGGTGGTCCTTCCAGTCCCCATCCCTCACTCCTCAGATTCGTGAAGTGCTCCCTCCTCAGTGCTCTCACCCTACTTTTGCCATAATCACTGTAGCTTACTAAACCACAAAGAAAGCAAACGACCACAGGACGGTGGCTACGATTCCCCTAACTCTTCCCACACCCCCAACAACAGATGTTCCCAGTGGAATCACAGTCCGCCCATACCCACCCCAGGCAGCACTGCCAACCAATCCGATCTGCCATCCTGACTCCCCATATTAGATTGTAGCTCTTTACTAGGATTGCAGCACTGAGTTCCTTGAGTAAGAAACTGTCCCCTAGCCTCCCCTATCCCCCAGGGTCTTATGTCCATTGGCTATGCGCATATGGAAAAAGAAAAAGAAACTGTCTCGGGCAGCTCTGTGCCCCTCACCTGTAGCACAGAGTGGGCTCAGAGTGTGCCCAAGAAATTCCGGCTGGATGGACATCGGACACACTCTGGTCTTTGGGCTCCTGCCCCTCCAGCAGGTTAGAGGCAGAAGCAGGCCCAGATGAGCTGCCAGCGCCCACCCCTCTGGAGCCCAGCACCTGGGACCTGCGGTCACAGTACCTTGTCTTTAACACTGTGATCACAGCCAGAGCCCACCAGGAAGTCCAGAGCCTCCAGCTGCCCGTGTGCGGCCGCCAGGTGAAATGCTGTCCTTCCCAGCTGACGGGCGGAGAAGAGAGTGAACTCTTACGCTCTGTCCCCCGGCCTCTATTTCCTAACCATGTCGGGCTTGCAGTGGCTTCTCCTGACCCAGACACGCTCCCCTCTCCTGGCCCCACACACCCAGCTTCCCAACAAGACCCCACCAGGGGGGGTCAGTCCCCCACTGACACCCTCCTGTGGCTCCCGGCTGCCTACTGAGTAAGGGACAGAGCCCTGAGGCTGGGGGTGGAGCTCTTCATGAGGGACCCCAACCCTCTGGCCCTCACTCCCAATATTCTGACCCACCTGATCTCACACACAAAGGGCCCTTTCCACCCCTAACTCTCTAGGATGCTCTCTCCTCCGTTTGGAACGGCCCCCTGCTTTCCAATCTTATTGACAGAATTCAGTTCATCTACCAAATGCCACCTCCTCCAGGAAGCAGGAAGCAGTGGCTTCCCTCTCTAACAAGTCTAGTCCTTATCAGAGCCTCTCTGACAGAACTAACCACATTTCTGCTGTGTCTTGCTCATTTGTGCCCTAATGTCCCTTCTAGACCCGCAGCTCCCTGAGGCGGGGTCCAGTCTGCACCAGCCACAGCTCAAAGGACACACCTGAGGAATGGGCACGAGTGGCCCTAGGAGCCCCGGACCCAATGGGAAGGACAGGCTGGATGCCACCCTCACCTTGTCAGCACGGTCCAGGGCCACGTCCTCCAGGTCTTCCATGATGAACGCCAGCACCGGCACGTGGCCTTTCTGGGCTGCGCAGTGCAGTAAGGTGAGGCCGTCCTGAAACAAGCCCAGGGTGGTCCCTGCAGTCTGGAACGGAGACCCTCCTCACACACTGTGAGGAAGGAGGGCTCCTGGCCCCACAAGCAACATCAGTGAGGGAGGTTTGCAAATGCTATGTTGACAGCCTAGAGCCTCTGCCCTGGCTTCACATTGCAGCGGGGGTGTTTAAAGCACTGCTTTTCAAATAGATTGCAACCACCAGCGGGTCATAAAAATCAACAGAACAATGTCTTACCTCTTGACAGTGGTTTGGGTTATACAGGAGTAGCATTTGTCAAATCTCAGAGAGTATAAATTTAAGATTTGTATATTTCCTTGTATGTAAGGAAATTGAACCCTAGTTAATGATACGTATGCTGAAATATTTAAAGGAAGTACACTAATGTCTATAATTTATTTTTAAATGCATCCAAAATTTATAAAGAACTCTAAAAACTCATCAATGAGAAATTAAACAACACAATTATAAAATAATTTGGACCTCAAAGTATAGGGAAGGCAAATAAGCACATAAAAAGATATCTGACATCATTAGTTGTTATTGAAATGCAAATTAAAACCACAAAGAGTTTCCAACAATAGACTATGGAAAGGGGAAAATGCTAACATTACAGTGGAGAAACCTGGCTGTCTCTACTTTAACTAACTAATGAAGAGTGATATTGTGGTTTATAATTAGAAATATATATTTGGTCTTTATCCCTCTTCCTTGAACAGAGCTCCTAAAACCTTTGAAATTTCCTAAATGGTGAAAGCGTTAAAGGTGTCTTTTATTATGTTAATGAGGTAACTGTAAAAAAAAAAAAAACCTAGGTAACCTCAGGTTGGGGCCTGGTTGCCTGGGGAATCAACCTTGATTAGAAGGTTGAAACTTTGTCTTACCCCCTGACATGCAGGGATGGAGAGGACCAAAGGTTGAGTCAAGCGCCAATGGCCAAGGATTGCCTCACTCATGTCTACGTAATGAAGCTCCACAAAGACCCAAAAGGAGGGGGTTCGGAGAGCTTCCACTTGGTGAACCACAACATGTCCATGTGCTGGGCCCCACCCTCCTCGAGGACAAGACGCTCCTTTGTTGGGGACCTGACCCTGTTATGGATGAAAAGGGGGCACATGCACACCTGACAAGCTCAGGGAAGGCCTGCGTGATGACCTTGCAAACTCAGAGACCTAAAGTAACCACAAAGGATGGGCTGAAATGAAAGCTTTTTAAAATAAAAAGTCGTTTATGATGGGTAGTCATGTCCTAGGCCTGTATCTTCCCTGACAAAGATCAACTTTGACCTTCACTGAGCCTATTGTCTTTTTGCATCTACGATAACATACATTTGGAATGTCAGGGTAACTTCCCTGTTTCCAGACCCCTTAGGGCACAGCCAATGCACCAGGAGGAGACCACAGAGTCCCTCACTGTTACTGTTCTCCTGCTAATTGTTGACTGTTAACTAGCCTGTGCCCACCTTGTAAAAGAAGCATGTGTCTATCATTTTACTTTTTATCCAATCCCAGAGGTTTCCCAGCTTTGCTTTCTCTCACCTCCCTAATCTGTCACCGATGGATTTCATGTAACCCACTTACATCTCCTCTTTTTATTGTAGTGCATAAAGCAAAGTGCAAAACTACCATTTTCAGCAGTATTATCTCAATCCATTGAGATTCTGCTTCCTGGCAATTGTCACAGTTTGGCTCAAATAAACTCACAAAAATCCTTCACAGGTTTGAATGTTTCTTAGATTAACATCATGTATCTCTTCATCTGGCTTGTGATTCATATCCTTTAATATCCCTTATAATAAACCAGTAATCTAGTAAGTAAATGGGTTTCCTGAGTTCTGAGAGCTGCTCTAGCAAATTATTCAAACCTGGGGAGGGGTTCGTGGGGAGCCCAAATACCAGGCTGGACTTGGGGTTGGTGTCTGAAGTGGGGCAGTCTTGCAGGGCTCAGCCCTCAGCCTGTGGATACGATGCTGTCTCCTGGTAGAAAGTGTCAGAATTGCGTTAATTTGGTGGGACCCCTGGTCAGTGTCTGTGGAGAATTGAGTTAATTACTTGGTGGCATGGAAGAACCACACACATAGGAACTGGTGGCAGAATTGGATCAACGTAACATGCCAGTGACAAATCATGGTGGTGTCATATGCGCCCTGATAGCAGGAGGCGAGAAAGGAACTTGACCTCGGTGGTCTCCTTCCCAAAATTCTGTCACCCCAATCTAATCATCAGGCAAGCCAAAATGAAGGACTTTCTACAAAATACTTGACCAGTGCTCTTCAAAAGTGTCAAAGTTGTGAAAAACAAGAAAAGATTGAGAAATTGTCACAATATTAGAGGAGACTAGTGAGACAAGATGACTAAGTGCACTGTCGAATATTAAGTTTAAAAAAAAAAACAACTGATGAAATTTGAATGCAGTCTGTAGTTTAGTAAAACTTGAAATGTCACCAATGACTGGCAAGGTAAGCTTTGGGCTGAGCAGACAGGGGTAATGATGGCCTCTGACCTGGGCCACAGCTCATCCAACAGTGAGATGAGTACCTTTGGGAAGGACCTTGAACAAGGGATTGAAAGTAAGACTGGTGGACTGTTTGCAAAGATGGCTGCTACAACTCTCCCCACCCCGCCCTTGACAACACCTTAAGTAGGGGGGCTATACTGCTCTTTTCAGGGGGAAGCCAGCTCTCTCCATCCCCCCAACCTAAGCTGGCCCTGTGACGGGCTTTGAGCAATAGAATGTGGTGGACACACTATCATGTGACTCTCCAGCCTTGGCCTCAAGAGACCATGCCACTTCCACCCCTGCATTCACCCATCACTGAAAGAAATGCTAAAATCTCAAGCAGACGTTTGACAGAAGTGAAATAAAATGTTCTTTTTCCATCCACATCCCTGGGCCCCTGAAGTTGAGAACCCCTGGCTGACAGCATGTGGCCAAGGTGTTCCCATTTTCTTTAGAACCACTGTGCAGGGGTTCCAGGCACCCTACCTGGCTGGGCCCTCCCCCTTCAAACCACAGCGCACACCAGTGACAGCGAGGGGCTGCTGGGCTCCCTGACACTGCCCCAGATAATATATACACAGAACTGCACGTGCTTCCCCCACAGCTCGGAGGTGGGTACCAGCATCCCCATTTCCAAAGGGGAAAACTGAGATTCAGGGGGTAGAGTAACTTGCCCAAAGATCCCAGAGTTTGGTAACCAGTGCTTTCTCCACCCCGCCTCCCTGAGCACAAGGGAGGCAGGGTCCCCCCTCCCTCTCAGTCTTCCGACCACCCTCTGAGGGTGTTACTTGTATTCCTCTTCTGTGAATGAAGAGGCTGGTCAGACAACTGGGGACTGCCATAGCATCTGGAGTGGTAAAGGATGAGGGGATCAGAAGAAAGAGGGGTTCAATGTTGATGGAAGAGGCACCTCTGGCCCTTCTCCAAGCGCCAGTGGGAGCAGCGAGGGTCCCAGTTTCACAGGGTTGAGCTCAGCTGGGTTTTCAGGAGGCAAACTGGGGCAGGCAGAGGCATGTATGTGGGACCAAAGGAGCAGCGATAGGGCAGGTGTCAGAGGTGGGGCACGCCTGTGCAGTTGGGTCAGGGGACAGAGGAGGCAGGGGCAGTGGGGTCCAGTGGGCTGCCAGTTGAGGCCTTACCTTGTTCTCACAGTGGATCTTGGCCCCCGAGTTGACCAGGATCTGAAGAATCTGTAAGTGGCCAAACCAGGCAGACAGGAGAAGTGCATTCATCCCAAACTAGGGGAGAGGACACGGGAGGAGGGGAGGAGAATGTGAGGAAGTGTGGCTGCTTTGCAAAGTCACACAACCGTAAGAGACCGTAAGTGCCAGCCAGGCCCAGGAGCGCCCAGCTTTAGGAATTTAAAGTCCAGGACATTTTTAAAAATAGAGGCTGATATACTATCGCAAATTTTCAGGGTAGGGGAGGTTGCTGACTAAAACAGCTGCCATCTACTGTCACCATCATCTCATAGAGAGAGACCATTTTAACGCAAAAAATTTGGAGGGAGCCAATCTCAGAATATACTCTTTCCAAATACAGTTTTTTAAAAACATGTTTTTATTGATTTTTAGAGAGAGGAAGGGAGAGGGAGGGATAGAAACATCAATCAACTGCCTCTTGAACGCCCCCTACTGGGGATCGAGTCCAGAACCTGGGCATGAACCGGTGACCTCCGGTTAAATGGGTCGAATGCTCAACCGAGCCACACCAGCCAGGGCAATATTAAAATTTAGACTCTTAAATGTATCCCTGTCAAATGCCACTGTCAGATGCAGCCCCTTCCACAAGCCTGTAGAGCTAATTTTGTAGATCCTGCTACTTTTCAGTGCTTAGCAATGTGCTGCTTGCCAATTTGCTAGTCTTTGTGCAAATTGTTAAAGGATTAGACAGGATAGGGCCTTGTGGCACAGCAAGAGAGACCTGCCCTCTGGTGACTTTACTAATCCACTCAGTTATCTGTTTTACAGCCCATATCTCTCCTTGCCCACATGATAGCAGGAGAAACTGAAAAGGCTCTCTGAGCATTGAAAGGCCCTTGAAGATGGAGAGATCTCTATGACTGGACAAGGGGTAAAGGGAACCCCTGCAGTGTCAAAGCCCCTAAAGACTTAGACCCCCCCGCCCATCGGCACCTGCGCATCTGCATATCAGCGGTAACCTTGGCAATGACACTGTTCATAGATCCAGAGTGAGCTTCCCCACCCTGAGACAGACAGACAGACATGCACACACAGACACGCCTCCATAGGGGTCCCGTACCGCATCCTCATCGTCCACAGCAGCCTCATGCTCCAGGAGCAGCCGCACAGCTTGCTCGTGCCCTGCACCGGCGGCCCAGTGCAGGGCCACCCTGTCCACCTGCCAGGAGTGAGAGGAATCCTGTGAGGCACTGGCTGGCTGCCTGGCCCACGTCCCCCACCTCCACCACCACCAGGCCAGGAAACTGGTCTACAGCACGGGAGGCCTTGGCTGGCTCTGGTGACCAGTGACTGGGGCCCCAGCCGCATCCTGGTCCCTTCCGCCTCCAAAGGGCAGCAGCTGAAATGCACGTAGTAAAACACAACAACTAGATCCATCTGTACCCCATCTGCAATTCTTCAGAGCTCCCCACTGCTCCTGGGACAGACTGCATGGCCTGGCCCTCCCTACCACTGCTTCCCAGAAATGCCAGCTCCCCACTCTGTCTGTTCCTGTGGCCTGTGGCTTTTCTCCACGCCCCTGAGGGTCCCTGAGGGTCCCTGAGGGCCTCGGTTC